CTTCACCGCCTTGATCCGCCACCAACAATTGTAATCCACGACACTTACCTCTTCTGGGGGGTTTGCGTTGCCAACCGAAGAAACATTCCTGTGGCGTCGTTTTTCCCGTGCTCAAATACTACCATCTTCTGGAGCAAAACGGTTACTACCCAGTAAAAGTGTTAGGTCAGTTACCTTTTTAGGTTTTTTTTTTTCAATGAAAGAAGTAATTATAAAATTATAAAAATACAAGAAAATTTTAAAAATTACTATTTAGATATTTTTAAATATTTTATTATTATTTTAAAATTTATTATTGACAATTTTGATACTTTATATTTTTTAGTTTTTTTATTTTTAAATTTTTATACTCACAATACGGCAATTTTTACACTTTATATTTTTATAATTTTTTATGTTGGAATACATTGTTTTTAAATATTATATATTAAAAATAATTTATCTTTTTTTTTTCACAAATGTAGGTTCAGTTACTTGTTTGTTTATTAGTGTGTATTATGAATTAAAATTATATTTTAATAAATTGCAATAAAATTAATCATTTTTATTAACATAAAAGTTTATTCTTAATTAATTAACTTTTTTTTTTCTTTTCTCTACCACACCCATGGAAAGGAATTTTAAGGTAAAAGAAATTTTAAGCTTAACCTACTTTTTTAATATCTTAAAATTTATTAAAATTTATTAAAATACAAGATAAAAATATTAAATTAAAAATAAAAAAGTAAAATTTTTATAATTTTTTCATTTTAATAAATTTTTATAATTTTTAATAATTTTAATGAATAATTAAAAATGTGTGAGAAAGAATAATAATATATTTTCTTAAGCAGCGCTGTTTGATAGCTTCACTAGGCAATCTTTTACGGAAATTAAACCTGAACATCTAGTAATAATGAACAATGTTTACATTAGAATGTTAATTGTGATATTTGAAAAAAGTTATTTAAATTTCAAATATTTACAACAGAAGAAGGTGAGAAACGCGTGGATTATATTCCGAGGAACTCGTCAATTCGTCTTGCAGATTTTCCACTTATAGATGAAAGCTGGGGCACCCGTAAACTGTTGCAATTGGTCCTAAATATTGTACCATGGGTGCAGAAAACGCAATACCTATTACTCCCTACCATATGTGAGCTTGAACCTCGAGCCATTGATGCTATGAAACAAGAGTTATCGATACCCATTTACACTATTGGTCCTCTCATACCTTGTTTTGGTGATGGTCACGCTGGTTCTGTCGACAACAAACATTCTGATCATGGTTACTTCCAATGGCTTGATAATCAACCCTATGGCTCTGTGTTATACGTCTCACAAGGGAGTTTTCTTTCGGTTTCCAATGCACAAATTGATGAGATCGCAGCTGGTTTGCGCGAGAGTGGTGTTCGGTTTTTGTGGATAGCGCGTGGGGAGACTCCAAGGTTGAAAGAGTTGTGTGGGGATAAGGGACTAGTTTGGCCATGGTGTGACCAACTGAGGGTGTTACAGCATCCTGCTATAGGAGGGTTTTGGTCTCACTGTGGGTGGAATTCCACCAGAGAAGGTGTTTTTTGTGGTGTTCCTTTTCTTGCATTTCCAATATTTATGGACCAACCTCTAGATTGTAAATTGATAGTGGAAGATTGGAAGGTGGGGTGGAGGGTGAAGACACAAGTTGAAGTTAAACAAGACACTTCGATTAGAAAACATGAAATTTCGTGGATTTAGACAGTGATGAAGGGAGCGATATGAGGAAAAGAGCCAGGGAGCTTCAGCTGCTATGTCAGCGTGCAATTGCAAGTGGTGGATCAACAGATTCTGATATCAGTGCTTTTCTTCGCCATATAGGTGCCAAGCCAGAGTGAGACTATTGGTTTTGTTGAACAATCCTCTAATTTCTTTTCATAGTCTCCAACTAGAGTGCTGGATCCATTATCTAAAATTAAGATCATAAAAGCCTAGAATTTATATTTATCATGTCTTGTATGGTTTTGCACCATAAATATGATTAGATAGCGGATTTGTAATATCATTCTAAGTTTCTTACCGTGCAGACCATGAATGTCCATTAAATCATAAATATGGTGTTGGGATAGCTTGCCTAGGATAGTCTTGATGTATTATGCCAACTTTCTGCCTTCCCCTGAAGACTATTTTCACACAGTGATCTGCAATGCTGAGGAGTTTCCTAACACTACAGTGAACCATGAATTAGGGGAAGGGAAGGGGGTGTGATGCGGCCAAGGGGAAGGAGATATAAGTTTAAAGACTTCTCTAAATATATCTATAAAATATTATAAAAGCAAATTACATGTACTCACTGTTAAATTCACATTCTGAGAGTTAATTCAGTATTTAATAGAATCAACTATAAATACTAAATTTTAATCTTTTAACTTAAATTAAATAATAATAAAAAATTTTATAAATATTTATAGTAGAATGTGTGATATTTATTGAGACTAATTACATATTTAAATTATATATATATAGATGTGCTTGACAAAATTAATAAATAAATTAATGAAAATTTTACTCAAAATATATATAAGTATAAATTTTTATTTTAAATTCAAATTTTAAAAATATATAAATAAAATATAATTAAATTAATTTTTAACTTAATTGTAAAATACTTTTTCACGTAAAATAATCATAAAACAAAGTTAAACAACACTTGTCGATGAAATTGATAAATAAAGAAAACATTACCTAATATTCCTTATATATTAAATATTTAATCATTTCTATTTATTGTCTAGCGTCCAGTGTTGACATATAAGTTTAAATTATACGATTTATTTTGTAACATGCTCCATACGAGGAGAGTTGAATTCCTTATTCCATTTATTATACGTGGTTGCAAAGAAAAAAATTTAAATAAAAAATAGTAATAACTTTGTTGGATTTTTATCCTTTTATAGATAAATACTACTCAATTTATATATTTTATATTGATTGTATAAATTTTTATTATATCTTTTTACATATTTTATAAAATAAATTTTTCAGATTATACATCATTTTAAAATATTAAAAAAAATTGTTTAATAATTTAGAAAAAATTTAAAATAAAAAATTAAAAGCATTTAATTATTTATAAATAGTCAAAATTAATTGTTAGAGACTCTTAAAAAGAAGTTGATGTCATGAAAGCATAAATATTTATCGATTAGAGACATAGTGACTTTAATTAATATCGTTCTTAATTCTATGTCATTACACTCGTTATCCTTTTTTAAGGCACTGAAGTCGGTGATAAAAGATATGGTCACTATCCAGTAGAATTTTTTATGGAAGAGTGTTAAGAATGAATCTAAAATTCCTTAGGTGAAAACAGTTTGTAAACCGCTAAAGAATGATAGTTGGGACATTAAGAATGTACAGTAGTTTAACTGGGCACTTCTTGGTAAATAGTTATGATGAGATGTTAATTGTTTTAGTTTATTACAGGTACGGGTGTTAGAAGCTAGATATGGCAGATTAACTTCTTCTATTCAACGTTCATCAGTTCACAACAGATATTCTTTGTTGTGGCGTGATTTGCTGGAGGTTATTTATCAAGAGAATTCATGGCTGGATGAAAAGTTAGATAGGAGTGTAGGTAAAGGGTTGCACACACTTTTTTGGAGAGATAAGTAGGTAGGCAGGTGCGATTATGTGAGGCATTTCTACAATTGTTTGTGGTAGCGAATAATGTTGAATCTTGTGTATTGGAGAATGATTTTCATAATAACACTAGGTGGATTTGGGATTTTAGTTGGTGAAGAGAACTCTTTCAACATGAGATCTCAAGCTTTAATATTTTGTTAGAGCTTGAGAATGGAGTTTCTATTAAGGTGCTACAAGAAGATAAATAGATATGAAGGACGGATTCTTAAGGTTGTTATTCAGTGCAATATGCATATTCATGACTGTTTAAATTTTTTGGTAGTCCTAATAGTGTAGATCAGTGCAAAGGCTATAGAGGAAAGGTCTCTCTTAAGTGCCTAATATTTTCTTGGCAATTGTTGTTGAATGCACTTCTTTGTAAAGGTTTGGTGATTGATTGTTGATGATATAACTTGTTGCTTCTGTCATAGTTTGGAGAAAATTACAAGTCATTTATTTTTAACGTGCTCAGTTTCATATCAAATTTGGTATTTTACTGCGTGTTGACTTGGATTCTCACTAGTTTTGTCTTTAGATTTATCGACTCACTTGCTTTCTTGAGTTGATGTTGGTTATAGTAAAAAAAAATGGATATGTTTATTAATTGTTTGGATAAGTACATTGTGGTCTTTGTGTTTACATAGAAATAGAATAGTATTTTCAAATGGTATTTTGGATGAGAGAGAAATCTTAGAGTCTATTATTTTGAGGTCCTGGAGATAACTATCACTTATCAGTAAGGGAAAAACTATTTTGTTAGTTAATTGATATTTGAACTCACAAAATTATATTTGTCTTAATTTTACATAAGTATGTCTTTGTTTTTTATTTTTTTGAGTAAGTATTAATTTGTTCTGTGTATATGAATTTTGAGTTCTTCTTAAATTCTTTTTAATAATATATATTTTATTTATATAAAATATTAATTATAAAATTAAATAATTATTAAAAATATTGTAAATTTGTATTTTAATTTTATTTATTAAAAAATAAATAATTAATAATGTTCTACTTTTATGGGGAAAAAATTATTATTCCGTGCAGTAAAACCCATGGAAAGCTTAAGGAATTTATTTATTCTCCGAATATTTAGATGGGACCGGGGAGGGGGAGCCAATGAAAATTCTGACATGGTTAGAGGGGCTTTGCCAATAATTGTGAGGGTTTGCAGTTTCATTCAGGTGCTCAAGATTTCAAGGGAACGCAGTCTTCAAAATCCAAACAAACTCGAGCAGTTTCCAAGAAGTTTCCCTTCTCCATTCAAGCCCCACCACCTCATTTCTATTGCATTTGCATTTCATCACTTTTCACTACCTTCAACCAAGCAAATATCCATCCCCAGCCAAATCAAAGGGGAAAAAAAAATTAATAAAACAGAAATAATAATAATTGATAAAACTTCGAGGGCGGAGCGTGAACTCCACTCTCTTATCTCTGTCCTCATGGGTGGAATCGTGTCTACTACTCCTCCGTCCCACAAGTTTCCGTTGTCGACCGTGGAAACTAGTCAGTATCTTCGGCCATCGAAACTTCTATTAAATGTGACTGTGGAGAACAGCTTGGGCGCAATTCAGGTGCTCATGTCGCCTGAAGACACCGTCGCCGATTTGGTAAAGGCCGCATTGCTAATTTACGATAAGGATAAAAGGAGGCCACTCTTGAAGGACACTGATCCGAAGTGCTACCACCTTCACTATTCCCCTTACACCCTTCAAAGTAATAATCTCCTTAATCCATCTTTCCCCTTAATTTCTCTTTTCTTTTGTCACATATTTCATATATATAAAATTTCTTCCACCCTAATGGTTCAACGTATAATGTGTGTATAACTTATGCAACAATCAGTTGCCTATGTAATGTCTTTATTTCTCAGCTTTATTTGTGAATTTTTCCCATGAACGATAGCTATTACTAAGGTGCAGGTTTGAAGCCAAATGAGAAATTGAAGAACTTGGGATCAAGGAATTTCTTTCTCTGCTCGAAGCCTCCCACTTCCTTTGGTTTTATTTGAGGATGGTGTTCCCCGATGCAGTCCTGCTAGAAGATCAGGGCTATGCCGAGAGCATCCCTGCCACTTTCTGATGAACGAAATTCTTTGCTGTTTGAATGTACATTTTCCAATGGATTTGATTGCCTTGTTGCATATACAATTTAATGGAAATACGTATGTATACACCAAGGTAATCACATGCCAATATTTGCAACTCAAGAAATTGTGGACGAAATTTAAGTCTCAACGTTTCTCTGTTATTTTCCATGGTTTATAGTCTTTGGATATTGTATTACTGTATATGCTAAAACGCATCCTGAATTTGGTCAAATTTCCTATGTATCTGAAGTGCATTGAAACTAGATGCGACATTGACTAAATAAAGTTAATTACCACTCACTAATATTATGGGTATCGAGTTCGTTGCTCTTTCAATACCATTTGTTATATATCAATTACTTATCATTAAGCTAAAGGATATAACTAATGATAAATATTCCGACTAATATTATTTATCTTTTAAATAGTGTACATGTCTTTTAAAAAATTAATGACACGAATTATTATGGTAAATAATTTTTTACATAAAAATATCCTTATTAAAAGAGTTAGAATGTAGTTATGAACTATTTTAGGTATTTAAGTGATATACCAATAATTGATGTATTGTTAGACAAAATAATTAGTATTTTTTGATTTTGTTAAAATGATAAATAGTTTAAGACAGGATAAAAGGCTCAGATAGAATATCGTATGAGATAAAAGAAGTACATTTTTTCTTAAAATTTCTCCCCCAGCAAAATTCAGTTTAAAGGTATGCACTTCTTACAAATATCATCAATTGAAAATTAAAAATGTTAAGCTAATCAAATTCTAATGATTGTCACCAAAGAAAGTGGATCAACAATGTAAAATACTTGCAAAGTTTTCAATGCTCAAAAAGCACGAGTCCAGTTTAAAAAATATTACAGCAACTCCAATCGAAGTAGTTTAAGCTACATTTACTGTTAAGAAATAATTTATTTTCCAATTGGCAGTATTGGAGATGACTCACATGTAAGCAAAAGATTTTTAATTAGATAAGCAACGGTTATGTATTAGTAAAACCGAGACAACTTGCGGGATAAATAAATACATATTAGTGAGATATAAATATTTAAATTAGTACGTGAGATTTATTAGATGGAATTGGTCATTGGAAATAAGAGTTGTTTAAATTAGATAAAATAAAAAGATTTAATATATTAAGATGGAGTCTATATATAAAATAATAAAACAAATAATTAAATTTGTTATATTGCATCATTAAAGATACTTTTCAATTATACGCATATACATTGTATGAACCTTCTAAATTTCATGTTGATAGTAATAAGTTTTTAAATAATAAATAATTAAAATGCTTCAAAGTTAACAAAAAGTAAAGTTAATGTTATTTGTTCACAATATATATTTGAATTTATATACACATTGTTTTTTTAGTAAAAATACTAGAGTCCCAGAATGGTCAATGAGCAATGTTATACAACCATCAATCCCCGAAAAATGAGAGGTTGTCTGTGGCTATCCGTTAGCGGTGTTGCGTGAAGGAACATGGCGTAGAAATATAGAGACAGAGGAAGGGGAAGGTGCGCACTTCGCACGTGCTGGAGACAGGCTCCAGCTAACGTGCGCATTTCCTTGGAAAAGAGGGAAGAGGAAGAGCATGGGCGATCTATTTGCGTGGCTCATCTCCTTCTTCCTTCTCATTGCACTACTTGTCCTCGTCACTTACCAGGTTTTTCTTTTATCTTTATTAATATGACGTTGCAGAGTAGAGGAGGTCAATTTGAGTCTCTACAAATATATATTTATTGCAAATTTTGTTCGAAGTTATGAGATGCGATATATGAATATATAAATGAATAAGTTGCATGTGATGTTATTTATTCTACATGAATTCTGGAAAACGGGGGAGAATACCTATTGTTCTTGTGCTTATTCGTTCACATGTGTTCTTCACCTTATTTTTTTATTTAGGAATTATATTTATCCTTATGCTGATATTTATTATTCTGTGCTTTTTTTTTATTCTGCTTCAGAGCTTTGTGTCGGTGGTTAATTGTTCTACTTGTGAACAATACTTCCAAATCATGTTTTGTGTATTTTTTAAGGAGTGTTATGATGAACATGTTGCGTTTGGTGGTATCAATTGTCCTCTAACATGTCGTGGCTTGTTTTGACATTTGTTGCAGCTAATGTGCCTGGCAGACCTACAATTTGATTATATAAATCCTTATGATTCCTCAGTTCGAATAAATAAGGTGGTTTTGCCTGAATTTATTACGCAAGGTGTCCTATGCTGCTTTTACCTTGTTACAAGACATTGGATTATGGCACTCGTTTGTGCTCCCTATCTCTACTACAATGTTCGGTTGTAAGTTTAAAGCAAATTTACGAATAATTTAAGCAAGTTTGTTGTTTTTAATATGGAATGGAAAATTCTTCAATATTTTCTTTTTAAGAAATCTTTAAGTGGTTTGCTCTTCAATTTGAGAGTGGGAAGATAGTTTGAGTTTGAAACTTCAATTTGAGATTTCACTTTGCCTTATTGAAATCTTGTTTGATTTTTCCTCTACTTGGCTTAGTTTGTATTCGTTTGATTTACACCGTATATAAGCTTGGTTAACTGTATGGAACTTTATTTTCCCCTGTATGGTTTTGGTTGACTTGGTTTGGTTTACACCATTTATATATAGTTTGGTTAGCTGTGAGTAGCTGCTGGTCAAACCAAACAATATATATACATGAACTTATGCAATCATTTTTGCGTTGATTTGTATCAAGTTGAAACCTTGGAAAGTTTGAGTCAAATAGTTTTTTGTTTATATTACTCACAGCTACTCTATTATATCCTTTCCAGTTTGTCATCAGTTGTCCATTGCGTGGTAGATGGTTTCTTACCAGTTAGAGGATCAAAGAAAATTCGAAAATATTGCTTGATATCTTAATGTACTGGAACGTGCTTTATTGGTCATGAAACGCATATTTTATTCCTTTGATCAGGTACAGACGAAGAAGGCATTTGATTGATGTTACTGAGATATTCAACCTGGTCTCTTGTGAAAAGAAGCAACGGCTTGTCAAACTCTTCTATCTTGTTTTTACCCTTTTCCTCTCCGTATTTTGGTACAATCAATTTGAAAAGGCTTAATTGTCTGTCAATTTTATGGATTTCATTAAAATGAATTTTTTATTCTTAAATGTTCATCTTGCTGCAGGATGATCTACTCATCAATGAATCAATAATTGCAGTTGATTGCGTGTATAGTGCTGCAAACTCCCAGATGTGTCTCGTAGAGAACTGTTAATTACTTCTCATATGCAATGCTATCATGATTAACATGTACTTCAGGGTTCAGTTACTAGCTTGTTTTTATTGTTATAAAAAGTGGTACAATATAACTTTTTCTTTACATTTTTTAGGTGAAGAAAAATTCAAGGGACGGGTTGTCTGTTGAAGGAAGATTGAATCAGTGTTGTTCTTGCAATTCATGTTCATTCTCAGAATAAAAAATCGAAGTACGTTCCTGCTTTTCTCTATCTTTGGGTATCAAACTTCATAGAAAAGAGACTAGAAACATGATTGAACCTTCCTTGTTTTTGGTTGATGCTGGCATAGCGCTATGTTGGGTCAGGGGAAAGCTGTGCACAAGAGTCTGTTCCGGGGGTTCGGTACATCATCGAACAAATAAACTGATGCAAGTAATAAAATCAACATTTTATTTAAAAATATTTAAGTTGATCTAAACTCTACGCGGAAGAAGTAAAAGCTACTTTCCTTGTTTAGATTTGTTATGTAATGGAAGAACGTGATTTATCTATTCCTGTCCACAGTTCACAATTTTATTTCGGTAAAACACCTTTTTGTGTAAGATATATTCTTCTGGGGACATATTCAATTCTTTATTCATCATACATTACAATACAAGTAAAATATTCTAATATAAGGTTTAATTTACGACTTAAACCACGCCTGATGATTATTAGAGTTAAAATTTAAGTTGTTTACCTTCTTATTTGTCATTGTGGCCCAGTTTAAAAACTTTAAAACAACTGTAAAAGTCACATTTTCCTTCCACTATCCTCAGCCTTTTCTTTAGGCCTTTATCCAAACATAATAATACAAATGTGTGTTTTGGTACATAAAGAATATTTTTGCCTGAAATTTTATTTTATGTAAACATTAAACAAAACTATAATTATGTGTAAAAGAAACATGACGAATGCATTGTGTTGGACAGGTTTATTTTTGGATGTCAATCATCTCATTTTCGAGCAGAGAAGAAGTAAGTGCAAAGATTTTTTAGGTCCATGTAAGTGCAAAGAAGATAGATTATTTTGATGGAAAGGGCAGTCGTTTTACTTTGGCACTTGTTGAAAATAAAATAGAAGGCTTTATTTGTTACCCTCATTACTGAAAGGTTTGCACCTTTTGTATAGACTTTTTTTTTTTTTTTTTCATTCAACACGATCTTTTTTTTGTAAATTTTGGAAATAAAATTTTGAAAGGTATTGATCACCTTGATTCTGAAAGAGTGGTGCAAAAAGAAAGTCTTACTATAAACGGACAACCAAAACCCTCACACGAAATACATGGACTGGAACATATTATGCATATAGGCCAAGCCCAATAGAGTTCATGCAGTTCAATTTTAATTGTAGACTAAAAGAAATAAACTATCTATTATATTTCTTCACTTTATACTGCTCATATTAGATCCAGAAAACAATATTACTCATTTTCAACGTTGAACCCAAAATTCCATTCCCTGGCCCATCGGCCGAACGGACAAACAAATTTATTGTTTATACTTTTGTATTTAGCATTAAAAAATCTCAATATTAAATCAGATTTGATTGCGAAGCATTTTAAATCAAATCGTATAAAAGGATAATTCTATCAAATGCTCATCTAAACTAGTTCTTGAAAAAAAAAATATTAATACGTTAGGTCACGAATTGAGGAATTAAAATAAAAGTTGAATATAATATTTTGAAAATTAAAAGATCAACTACTTCATTTATCTATACTTAAAATAAATTAAAAATGTCATTTTTTTTTTCTTAATGCGTGTATATCTTATAAAAAATAGATAGATAATTATACTTACAGGCGGAGCACCACATGATTCAGTTCCTATCTTATCTGAAAGAACCAAAACATAACACTAATTAAAAAATAGAACACGTGAAACTATGACAAAGGCTAACTTTAGCATCTTGAGAAAATAAAATGAAAATATTTTCTGGGAGTGTTCTTTTTAAAAACCCTTATTTGCCGTACTAAGTAACCGATGGAAATCGGAAGACATAATAATAGTAATAATAATAATAACAACAATAACAGATTCCAAGCTTCCAACAATAAAATTCCACACACATAACATAGCATGCAATAAAGTTTGGGTCGGCAAGAAAATCCCTAAACAACAAAGAAGATGCTAACGTTGGCATCTATAAATTTCATCCCACAAGTTCTCTTTTTCCATGGGAGGAAACAGAAACCCTAAGCCACACCTGTTTATACATTTTGTGGTTAGAAAAAGTAAAGATTGTTTAATTGACACAGTTGATAGATATACTGGATAGGGCTATATTCGGTCTTCCCTATAGAAAAAGGTAACTGAGTACCTTTTCGGTCTAATATAACTGAATACCCTTTGTCAGATTAAAAGATAATTAATCTAATTAAGAATAATAATCAGAATATTATCTACTTTAATTAAAGGACCAAAACCAAGGCTGACTTAACAAGCTCATTAGTCCATAACAATGCCTATAAAAGGAAGGTAGGAAGTACAGATAAATGGTGAAATTTTTAATATAAAATAACATTTATTACTCAGAACCGAATCCTGACTTCAGTATCGGAGTGCCTTTGCAGTTACCCTCCCCACGTCAAGTAACGTCAGCAAGATACAGAAAGACGTCACCCTATCCAAGCAGAGACTTGAAGACTAGTGTTTCCCTAGCAAGAACAATAGATAATTAGATCTCTTAAGTATGCTGTAGGGTGAGGGTTACCTTTACTGCACACTCCAAAAAAATAACATTTGCATCGTCCATTCATATCCTAATAGTTGGTAATTTTGCATTTAACGACTTAAGTCTTATATGCGAGATTAATATGTCTTTTTGGTCTTTGGCTTTGAAGTAGACATGATTCCTTGCCTTAAAATCCCCTCAACCAAAAAAGGAAAAAAATAAGAAAGCAAAGAGAAATTTATTTTCATTCACTTAAGTTTGTATTCTCCAAATCCAAGGAGTTCCTCTGTTTCCGTTTACAACTTTTACTGTTCATTATAATTAAATTCTCTTGGTTTCATACAACGGCAGACATTTAGGGGTTAGATTCTTGCTTGAAGCATCAATTGAAGTTATTTCATTTCACAAACAATTAAATTTAGGATTTTCTTACCCTCAATTTTAAGAGTTGAGTTTGAGTATTTATAAACATAAAATTTTTATAAAAATATTTTTTATTTATTGTATTAAAATTATGAAAATATAATAATTTTTTTAAATAAAATTTTATTATTATTAATCGTTTATTATTCATTCTAATAACTGATGTTATCTTAAAATTAACATAAAAAATATATAACACATTTTCACTTTACTTTTTTTATCAATTTTTTTAACTATTTATTTTTTTAAAATAATTAATAATAAAGAGTTTCTTGATAACCTTTCTCATTTAACATTAGAGTCAGACACAAGCTAGTATGCCACTTGGTTTGTAAAGTTTAATGTAGAAGCATTATTCGAAACCTGAAAATGTGAGAGCCAAACTTATTTGTGCAACTTGGTGAGTTGTGGTTATCATTAATTATTATATAATATTAGATCAAGCCATTGATTTATTAAGAAAAATGACATCTGTTCCTAATTGTACCAGATAGGAAACTGCTTGGTCATACATATAGGAAAAGAAAACTGAGTACCTATTCGGTCCTGTTTGGATGAATACCTTTTGTTAGGATTAAAAGGTAATTAATCCAATTAAGGGTAATAATCAGAATATTATCTACTTTAATTAAAGGGCCAAAACCAAGGCTGACTCAGCAAGCCCATTAGCCTATAACAATGCCTATAAAAGGAAGGTAGAAAGTACAGGTAAAGGGTTGACTTTTCATTATTAAATAACATTTATTGCTCAGAACTGAATCCTGACTTCAACATCGAAGTGTCTTTTGCAGGTACTCTTCCCACGTCAACGACAGTTAGAAGGACGTCATCGTTCCAAAATAGAGACCTGGAGACTAGTGTTTCCTTAGCAGGAACATTTTGGCGCCCACCGTGGGGCACAATTTGCCTCATTTTTAAAAAGTAAACATTGTACTTACAAGAAGCCAGCAAGACAGACAGACTCAGCAAGGCGGAACCTCTCAGCAGCAAGAGGATACTACACCTAATCAGCCTATTCCCAAAGTTTTAATGGAGGGAGGTGGTGACGAAAGCTTCTTTGCAGTGTTGAGACAACTCAAAGCAAAGATAATGGAAATGAAGAAGAAGAGGGAGAAGGATGCTCTTGAGATTTCAGCTTTGAGAAGGGAAAACGCTAATTTAAGGGAAGAGATAAGAACCCACATACCTTGTCAAACTACACCCCTCGCCCAAGAGCATGGGGAGTCCTCGGCATTACAAGAGAAGCCAAGATTGGTACAACAATTTGAAATCTAAAATGACTGAGATGATGTGGTGAGCCGAAGCCCGTTTGCTCACCATATCTTGGATGCCAAGTTACCAGACAACTAGAGAGGCCTAACAATAGAAAAGTATGATGGCACATCCGACCTTGGGAAACATTTAGATGTTTTCACAACTCAGGTCGGTCTGTACACAGAAAGCGATTCCTTATGGTGCAGAATTTTCCCCATCTCACTTCAAGGACTAGCCCTAAGTTGGTTCACCCGACTCCCCCTTCATCCATTGACTCTTTTGCAACTCTCACAAGACGGTTCAATTTACAGTTCGCCACAAGCCGACCACACCCGCTGACATCCCTAGCACTAGTCAACATTCATCAGGAAAAGGAAGAATCACTAAGAGCATTCATGGAACGCTTTAGCAAAGTGACCCTTTCAATTCATAACCTGGAACTAGTCGTGGCTATACACCACCTCATAACGGCCCTTAAGGCAAGGCTTTTCGTTAATAGCATATGTAAAAAACCACCCATGAACTTAGATGAGCTTCGGAATCGGACTGCCAAGTACATGCAAATGCAGGAACTAGCTAAATATCGGAATCAAGTCCGAATAGACCAAGGGTCTAATTTTAAAGAAGCAGACAAGAGAGAGTCTTTAAAGCCTCGATAAGAGACTAAAGCCAAGAGAAATGATGTTGAGAGACCCCCTAGAGGTCCAAAATATCCTGCATATACTACTCTCAACACCAACCGATCTAGAGTACTTAACCAAGCTCTAGCAACTAAAATATTGAGTATGCCAAGGTGTGCTAATACCCCTCTCAGGCAGACAAAAGCAAATCTTGCCGATATCACCTCAATAGGGGCCATACCACAGAAGAATGCACGACTTTGAAAGATAAAATCGAAGATTTGATTAAGGAAGGACATCTTCGAGGATTTGTACAAACAAATCCCACTGGTTGTGCTGAAAGAAGTAGAGATCGATACCCCCAATCCTCAAGAAGATATGAGGATAAGTAGCCTGAGTGACAGCGGAGCCAGTCAAGAGAGCCTCCTGTGAAACGATATGATGAGCGAGAAAAATACCTGAAGAGGGTTATTAACACCATAATCGGTGGGTTTGCAGGTGGAGGACCCACTCATTCCGCTAGAAAGAGACATCTAAGGCAAGTTCGCTCTGTTAACAACGTTTCATTGGGTAGCAGAATCCAAATCCTACCCATCACGTTCACAAATGATGACTTTCAAGGAGTAGATCCGGTACAAGATGATCTCATGGTTATCAGTGTGGACATTCTCAATTGTACTGTCAGAAAGAAATTAATTGACCAAGGGAGTTCGGCCGATATCCTCTAGTACATTCAAACAATTGGGCATAACAGAAGAAGAGCTTAGAAAATATCATGAACCGCTGGTTGGCTTCTCTGGAGAGCGGGTAGAAACCCATGGATGTTTTTATCTATACACGTCATTCAGGTCTGAACATGAAGGAAAACGCATTAAGATTACATACCTGGTAGTACATG